TTTTTTTTTTTTTTTGAGACAGAGTCTCACTCTATTGCTCAGGCTTGAGTGCTGTTGCACTGTGTCTCACAGCAACATCAAATCTTGGGCACAAGCAATCCTCTTACTGTACCTTCCCAGGTAGCTGGGATTATAGGTGCCTGCCATAATGCCTGCCTGTTTTTAGAGATGGGGTCTTGCTCTTACTCAGGCTGGTCTCAAACTCCTGAGCTCAAGCAATCCACCTGCCTTGGCCTTCCAGAGTGCTAGGAGTACAGGTGTGAGCCACTGTGAATGGTCCCGTTATTCTTTTTGATGCTAAATTTTCCAGACTTGGCTAGTTGCTGACCATTCAGGCTGACTCCTCTTTTTGATATGACTCTATTCTTTAAAAATAGCTATATATTACTTCAGTAATATACATGTGACATAAGTCTCTTACTACCACCGTATGGGCATTCATTTTGTTTTCAGTATAATTGCCAATACAAACAACACTAAAATGAACATTCCTGTTTATATATTATTATATACTATTAGCAGACTTAAACACCTGTGTGGAATTTCCATTTACTAAAGTTCCCTACTGTTATTTGTGTTTCTTCTATCACTAGGAATGGTGCTAACGTAGTGCCATTCTTCTTCCACCTTAGTCTACCCTCATGATGCCGTCACAACACCGTTAGTTCCTTCAGAGCACTTACCATTATCTGACATTAATTTTTCCTTTTATATATAAATTTATTTATTGTTTTCCAACATAGGATAAAAGCTCTCTCATCTAAGAAGACCTTATTGTTTTTCTTCAGTGCTTAAAAACAGTACCAGGTGGTTAGAAATGGTATAAAACAGTCTTTTGGTAAATATTTGCTAAATGATTGATTGAACGAATGAATGGCTATCATACCGAAATTTCCCGTAACCTCAGTTTTAATTTATTTCCTATTAATATACTTTTTTATTTTTAATATTTAAAAAAGTTTTTTCAACCTGTAGAAATAATCTGTACCTAGTTTTGATTATGTGAAAAACAGAGGTGTCATAAGCAGAATTTTGCCCTCTTTTGGGATGTTTTGTCCAATCACAAGAATTATAAAATTTAAAAATTAAGGATTTATGGAAACATTATTGATCCTTTTTGGAAACACATTATTTTTTTTCTTGAAATAGTGGACGTTCTATTTGACATTTAAGGCATACAAATCCTATCAGGGGTCTTATTAGATACTAGATATTTGGGTGTAAATTACTCCTAAGGTTCTTAGGTTGTCTTTTAGAGTATGGAAACATTCTCAAAACACTCTTGGGAAAAATTATAGGGAATATAATACTTTTTGTGCAGAAAGTTCCAGTTTGTTTTTAGGTAGCAAAGTGGTTACTTATGGAATCTAGGAATGTGAAATAACTTAGTGTTTAAATATATAGGAACTCTTAAATTACTTAATTTGACATAGTACATTATTCATAGATTTATTTACATTAACCTGATATATTAAACTTTTATATGAAATTTATATTTAGAGATTCTAAAAATTATATGGCATTTGATATTATTACCACTTTATATTGCAGAATGTGCCCATTTACTTTTGGCTCACAATGCTCCAGTAAAGGTGAAAAATGCTCAGGGATGGAGCCCTCTGGCGGAAGCCATCAGCTATGGAGATAGACAGATGAGTAAGCAATACGAATTCCTGTTGTTGATGTATATTCTAAAAATATAAAGTGATGAATCTGAAATGTTTTTCTTTAGTGTAAATTTCCATATGATGAACTTTTCCAGTTATGTGTAGATGTATATGAATTATTCATGAATTAGGAACTTGAACAGTCAAGTAGTACACAGAAAGAATTGAGGAGCTGGGTTTCAGTATATGTTTACTATTTGTTCTCCTTTTGCAGCATTCTGCCTTACTGGTATTCCAGAATAAAGGATTTTTTTTTTTAAGTTGTGACCTGTCCGTCCCTTCTAGCAACTGCTTAATTATATGGACTATTACTTGGAACTAAAAATAATAATGGTGTCTTAACAGTTATCTGGTTTAGTTGCTGGGTATAGGCTTTGCTAGAAATGAGGAGCAAGACGTTTTATTTTGTTTTAGTCTTTAAAACAGTATTTCCAAAACATGTTACAGGGTCTTTTATAAAATACAGAGTGTTCAGTTTCTCCACTCTCCCTTATCCTACCCATAATTTTTTTTTAACTTCATGTAAAGGTCTTATTTTTATCAAGTACATATCAATAGTTGAAGGTTTTATGAAACCTAAATCTGAATGAATGGGAATATTGTCTTTAATATTATGGTTTGAGGCTGAAAAGGATCAATTAAATCTAGCTATACAGAAGGAAATTAAGTTTTATTAAAGAAATGCATGACATTAAACACTCCTGTGTTAGATAGTTCGATGTTAGAGCTAAGTTTTGGGTTCTTCTGGTCACTTTCTTATGGTTTAGTTTTATATATGTACTCCACATATTACACTTTTGTAGACTTCCTGAACTTCTTGAACAGTATTTGGGCCTAAAATTTGAGATAAAATTGTGATACATGTATTTAACAACTAAACGAATATATATATTTTTTGTTATGCATTGACAGTTGTTCCTTCTGGACAAAGATCAGGAGACTCTTATGAGAGGAAGAAGACATCCAAATCCAAGAATTATTTCTGGGAAATAAAAATGTACAAACCCAAAAGAGACTGAGAATGCATTAAAAATTGCCCCAAGCCATCTGAAGCTTTCTCTGAGTTTTTTTCTAACCACTAGAAGAGGGAAAAGGAAACTAGATGGGCTTTTGAATTTCTGACCCATAGTGAGAATTTTGTGACTTCAGGATTCTTTTATTCAAATTCAATGAATATTTACTGAACCCTTACTATAAAGCATATGTGTGTATCAAATGAGGAGAAAAAAAAAGACACATTCTCTACTGTTTAGGAATTCATAATCTATTGGGAAGGCCAATAAAATTCTCATAGAAACATTAGTTAAGAGATACTTGGCAATAAATTTTAAGGTAAAAGATTGAGGCCCATGTATTTGAGATCTAGTTATAAAGTAATTTTCTTATATGGAGATAATTAATTGGATAACTCTTATGATACATATATAGATCTTCAGATATTGATGACAATGTAAGAAAAAGAAATTTTAATAGCATATTTAGAAATATCAATATAAATATATTTATGATGTGTTAAGCATGTATATACTTTGAAATTATTTTAAGTATTGTGATTTAAATTTTGACATGCTTATATTAAATTAAAATTTTCTGAGCATAGAAAATTATATATTTTAGCCTTGGCGCCTGTAGCTCAGTGGTTAGGGTGCCAGCTATATGCACCAGGCCCGGGCCTGCTAAACAACAGTGACAACAACAACAACAAAATAGCTGGGTGTTATGGTAGGCACCTGTAGTCCCAGCTACTTGGGAGGCTGAGGTTAAGAGAATCACTTAAGCCCAAGAGTTTGAGGTTGCTGTGAACTGTGTCACCACGGCACTCTACCAAGGGCAACATAATTAGACTCTGTCTCAAAAAAAAAAAAAAAAAGAAAGAAAAGAAAATTATTTATTTTAAAAATCAATCTAAAGAATAATCTATATAAATCAAATGTTATTAGTAAAATATTTTTGGCCTATTTGTCTTTTTTTCTGATTTCTGATAATTTTGCCAATGTTCTTTTGCTTCAGAACAGTGCTAAATTAACATGTCAGAGACTATTTAGAATCATTTCACTTTAAAATTAATAAAACTTGAAGATGATATTGCTCTTCTACATTACATTGGTTGCCTGGGGAATAGTCATCAACCTCCTCCGCCAGTATCAGGGAATTATATAGATAGAACTTAAAGGTCCTTTTCCCTAATTTATCCCTCCTCCAGGGACCCTGGCTTTCCTCTGATCAAGACAGTGCTGGTTTCCTATGATGCTACGATCTAGTTCTTTGTTTCTCTAGGAGTTGCTCACAGTTTGTACAAATTTATGTTATGGTATACTTAGGGAAATTTGGGGAAGTTTGTCAGCCTTTGTCTTATTTTTGTAGCAGATAAAATGTTAGTGCGGAGAGAAAGAGACAGCACTTCATGATGGTTTGTTGCCTTACCTTGAACTGCCAGGCTTTCATTTAGATTTCAACTTTGTATATCTTCTGAGAGGTGTCTTTCCTCAACTCCTGGAGTAGGTTAAGTTCTCTTTGTCATACATTTTCAATGTGGTCAAGGAATTTACCTCAATACAATAAAAACTATATGACAGACCCACAGCTCATATCAGACTAAATTGGTAAAACCGAAAGTCTTTCCTGTAAGATCTGGAACAAGACAAGGATGCCCAATTCATTATTGTTATTCAGCATAGTACTGGAAGTTCTAGCTAGAACCATCAGGCAAGAGAAAGAAAGAAATGGCATCCAAACTGGAAAGGAAGAAATCAAACTATCCTTGTTTGCAGACAAATATGATCTTATATCTAGAAAAACTACTGAAAGACTCCACAAAAACCCTATTAGAAGTGATAGACAAATTCAGTAAAGTTATAGAGTATAAAATCAAAATCATAGCATTTCTGTATGCCAACAGTAAGTAATCTGAAAAAGAAACCCAGACAATAATACCATTTATAATAGTTACAGATGAAATAAAACACCTATAAATAAACTTAACCAAAGAAATAAGAGGTCTCTATAATGAAAACTATAAAACATGGATGAAAGAAATTAAAGAGGACACAAAAAAATGGAAAGACATTCCACATTCATGGATTGGAAAAATCAATATTGTTAAAATGTCCATATACCCAGAGCAATCTATAGATTCAAAGTAATCCTCATTAAAATAGCAATGGCATTTTTCACAAAAATAGAAAAAATAATCCTAAAATTTTTGTGGAATCACAAAAGACCCAATATAGCCAAAGACATCCTGAGCAAAAAGAACAAAACTGGAGCAATCATATTATCTGACATCAAATTATACTACAGAGCTGTAGTAACCAAAAACAGCACAGTACTGGCATAAAAACAGGTACATAGACAAATGAACAGGATAGAGAACTCAGAAAATAGCCATGCGTCTATAGTGAACATCTTTGAACTTACAAAGATGCCAAAAATATACAGTGGGAACAAGATAGTCTCTTCAAAAATGATGCTGAGACAAGTGGATATTCATATGCAGCAGTTTGAAACTAGCCCCTTACCTCTAGTCATATATAAAATCAAGTCAAAATGGATTGAAGACTTAAATCTATGACCTAAAACTATAAAACTACTAAAAGAAAACATTGGGGAAATGCTGCAGGACATTTGTCTGGGCAATGCTTTCCTGAGTATCCACCCAAAGCAAAATGGGAGTAGATCACATCAAGCAAAAAAGCTTCTGAATAGCAATGGAAACAATCAGCAAAGTGGAGAGACAGTTTGGGAAAGAATGGGAGAAAATAATGCAAACTACCTGTCTGAGAAATAGTTAAGAACTAGAATAAGTAAGGAACTCCAACAACTTACAGGAAAAAAATCAAGTGATTCAATTTAAAAAAAAGCAAAAGGCTCATAGTTGTAATCCTAGCACTCTGGGAGACTGAGGTCGGTGGATTGCTTGAGCTCAGGAGTTTGAGAAAGAGTTAGACCCACATCTCTAAAAACAGCCAGGTGTTGTGTTGGGTGCCTATAGTCCCAGCTACTTGGGAGGCTGAGGCAGGAAGATCTCTTGAACCCAAGACTTTGAGGTTGCTGTGAGCTATGATGCTACAGTACTCTACAGAGGGTGACAAAGTGAGACTCTGTCTCAAAAAAAAATTTTTTTTTAAATGAGTAAAAGGTCTAAATAGGAATTTCTCTCTCTCTCTCTCTTTTTTTTTTTATTTTTTAGAGACAGAGTCTCACTTTATCGCCCTCAGTAGAGTGCTGTGGTATCACAGCTCACAGCAACCTCCAACTCCTGGGCTTAGGCAATTCTCCTGCTTCAGGCTCCCAAGTAGCTGGGATTACAGGCACCTACCACAACGCCCGGCTATTTTTTTTGTTGCAGTTTGGCCGGGGCTGTGTTTGAACCTGCCACCCTCCGTATATGGGGCCAGTGCCCTACCCACTGAGCCACAGGCATTGCCTTAAATAGGCATTTGTCAAAAGAAGTCATATAAATGGCCAACAGGTATATGGAAAAATGATCAACATCATTAGTCATCAGAGAATGTAAATCAAAACTGCAATGAGATGTCTTCTATCTTGCTGCAGTTAAAATGGCTCTTTTATTTTTTTTATTTTCTGAGACAAGAGTCTTACTCTATCACCCTGGCTAGAGTACAGTGGTGTCATCAGAGTTCTCTGTAATCTCAAACTATTGAGTACAAGTGATGCTCCTGCCTCAGACTCCTGAGTAGCCAGGACTAGAGGCATATACCATCACACCCAGCTAATTTTACTTTTTTGTGTGTGCAGTTTTTGGCCGGGGCTGGGTTTGAACCCACCACCTCCAGCATATGGGGCCAGCGTTTTACTCCTTTGAGCCACAGGCACCGCCCCTAATTTTTCTATTTTTTATAGAGATGAGGGGTCTCTCCTGCTTAGGCTGGACTTGAACTCCTGACTTCAAGTGATCATCTCACCTCAGCCTCCCAGAGTGCTAAGATTACAGGCACTCATCACCGTACCCAGCCTAAAATGGCTCAAAAAGACAGGCAATGATAAATGTTGGCAAGGCTATGAAGATGGGAGAACCCTTGTACACTCTTGTCCTGTCTTTCCTGACTTCTGTGTCTCAGCTTCTTCTATTACATTAGAAGAGACCTTCAGTAATGTAAACAATGCTCTTTGATATTTTTGCTTTTAAAATATGTTGGTTTTATAGTTATATATATACACACATATACTCTACCTATATACATGTATTGTCTATCTATATGTATAATAAGCCGGTGATGTTTTTAATAGTATGATGAAAATTATTCTAAATTAATTATTATATTTTTTAATTTAAACTTTAGTTACCGCTCTTTTAAGGAAGCTTAAGCAGCAATCCAGGGAAAGCGTTGAAGAAAAACGGCCTCGATTATTAAAAGCCCTGAAAGAGGTAAGGTGTATTTCTTTGCTGATTTTGAACCTAAACAATAATTGTAAGTGTAGTTTTAAGCATTTTAAAAAATATATTGTCTAAATTCTCACAGATTAAGGGTCAAGAAATGATAAAAATCATGCATAAATTAAACTATAGTTAAAATTATAAAATGCTGCAATAATAATGTATAAATATAATCTTAGATTAAGATTCATTTTCAGTAAATAAGAGCTCTATAAAAAAGGAATTAAGTCATAATTAATGGCAGTTATGTGGGTCATTATGAAAGTTTTGAGATATATAAAAATCAAGAAATGTAAAATCCATGCCAGTGGAAACAAATGAAGCCCTCCCAGCAACACTGATGAGCGAGCAACTCGAAACCTCCACAGGTGAATCAGAAAGGATGCTGCTGACTGTGTTTCTTGGAAGTGAAATAAAGGACCCCAGGACCATGGCACAGTCTATCTCAAAACTTTCATAGTGAACCATTTGTTTTTTCTCATCAGTTGAATCAGAAGATTGTCTTAACAGCTAAAGCTGCTGTTGTAGTAATAAGGAACAGTTTGTATTTTCTTTATATGACAAAAATTCTTTTTATCTGCCCTACCTCCAAGTGCTAATCGCTGGGTACATTGGCCTAGAAAGGAAGAGAGGTTTGTTTTCTGTTGTTACTCTCTTCCTCTGTATTTCTGCTGCCTGAGAGAAGTGTGGGAGGAAGTAGACCTGTAATGATGATGTGATGAAAGCTGCCTTCTCTCAGTGAGGCTATTTTTCTTTTTGTTTTTTTGTTTTGGCTTTTTTGAAATCTGAAGAGATACAGAAAGAGTCAGAGAAATGTTTTACTGATGTTGTAATAATATCTTATATTAACATTCACTTTTTCATTGTTTGAAATAAGAAAGATTAACTTATTGCTCTCTTTGTAATGCTTATATTCTGGATGTATTCATTTTTGAAAGAAGTAGTAGTTCTCTTAAAAGTTATACAGTCTTTGATGTCTAGCTTCTAATTTGTGAAATAAACATTTTCCCAAAAGCTATTGCAAGATGACGTATTTCAGATTTAGTAAACTTGTGTTATCCCTTCATAGAAAAAAATTTTCTATTGCAGTAGGCCCTTTTTTTACGGTAGTATGAGACTGTGCAAATAATCATTTTGGTAGTCATTTTTAATAACTACCGAAGTACAGTTAACTGCTTTCAAAATAATACCTGTATTTATTATTTTTATTATGCTGAGAGAAATGGAATTTTTTTATATAAATTTAAATGGCTATCAGTTTCAGATACAGAGATACATATTTCCCTTTGTAGTTAAATATAGTAATGTGTGCTATTATAATGTTTTATTTTAAGTAATAACCATACATCCTTTTTTGTTCACTCAAACTCCAAACACTGAAATTAATTCTTTATTATTTGCTAATCCCAATTACATAGACTAGATATTAACAGATTTTTTTAAAGAAATGTATTAAGCAGATATAAGAGCTGTTAACTATGGTGCATTTAGTAATTATTCATATTTTTTACTCAGCTAGGTGACTTTTATCTAGAACTTCACTGGGATTTTCAAAGCTGGGGTAAGAGTGTGCTGTGTTTTACTATGAAATATATACTCACGCAGAAATGCAAGTATAAAAATCACTGTTATATAGAAATTTGTTAGCGTAACAAATTTGATACTTGCTCTAAGGAGAAAGATGCTTTTCATCTTTCAACTGTATTAGTAACTTTAATAATTCTTATTTTAAGATTGAAACTTTATTTTGTAAGTTTTTCTTTTTACAAAAAACAGGCTTAAAAATGATTATGGTTCACTGTACATAATTTTCAGAAAAGAGAAAATGATTATAGAATTATTGGACTACGGAATTTAGGGAATTTTAAAATGCAGTGAAGAATTTAGTTAACATTATTTGATCATGTACATTTTGTTATCTTTCAGTTATTTATAACTTCTAGACATTATCTTAAGATATTGCATGGTTGTACATTGTTCCAATTATTTATGAAGGGTCTTAATTTTTTTGTTTTGTTTTGTTGTTTTGTTTTTGTTTTTTTTTT